TTATCACTTAGAAATTTATTGCTTTGAAATAATGTGTTGGAGCCTGATGCAGTTGACTGAGTCCCATGTACACCCACTTCTTTACTAGGAGAAGGAATCTAAATTAATTTCTTTGTAATATGAACTATTTGAAATAACCTCTTTTCTGATTTCTGCCTATCAGGTATTTTTTTTAAACACTGAAAGTTACACACTTCTTAATCTACTGAATAGCAGCTTAATGACAAGTTTTCCATTAATCATTGAATACATTTCAGTTCTAGTGCATGTCAGTGTTAATGAGAAAATTGCTGGGACCACCAGTTTTCTGTTCTGATTATATGAATACTTTCCTTCCTGAAAGACACAAGGCACAGAGAAGAAAGAAAATGATAAATGTGTGTGGGTGTGTATAGATTTTAACTACTGAATTAGGTCAGTGTTACACTTTTGGGGGAGGTGTTTCTAGATGAGAAGGTGTTTTGAATGAAACAAAGGAATACTGTGGAAGGTTAGATTTCTAAGTGTAGAAGTTTTAGACGAGATTCACATCATAACCCTTACGATGAGTCAGTATTTATTAGGATTTTAAGGAGGCAGTTCCCAGAATCCAATATGAAACAAATCAGTGATGCCTTTCAACGTAAAATTTGGATTGCTGCGGTTAATCTTTTTTTGCAATACAGCACTTACGATGAAAAAGCACATCTTCTGTGTGATCCAGTTAAGGTAGGAATGCTGTTGTATAAATAATGCTGGAGAAAAATAACTTATTTTTTTCCTTAGCATACTTGTAGGATTTTTAGAAAGCCCTGTTGTTACATGTTGAGTAGTCTAGTATTCCGGCATACATTGTTAGCACACTGAAGCGTAGATTTTGTGGCACATATCCTTAATTGAATATAACCAGAGAACTTTAAAGGAAAAATAGGTCTGTGTCCCTAGATAGGGCTTAGGTAATGCACATGAATAATAAGTTGTATTTTGAAGTCTGCTACTGTCACCTTCTATTTGTCTTTTTCTGAGACTGTACTTTAAGTAGCTAATTTATGAGAAAGGCAGTATGTATTAGGGTATTGCAGTTACTTTTGAGGAGGTGACTTTGAGGAACTCAGATGAAAGCTGTTCCAGAAGGCATCTGTAGAAAATTATATATGTTCCTTGATCATTATACACTAAAACACCATCCCTTGTATTTGCTGTTGCATGTTATCCTGTAACAGAGTAACATGTATAAATACACTTCCTTCTTAACTAGCGCTTACCCAGGAACATGTGTCTGATGTTTCCCTGGATTTTGAAAAGGTGCTTGATTTCTTCCCCAAACAAAATTAACCTGTTCTGCCACCCAAGCGTGAGGTTGCTGGCACTGGAAGCTGAGGTGAGGCTGAGACAGGCAGCTGCACTGAATGCAGTCTGCTGGTGCTCTGTTGGAATGCCGCTTGCGGCAGGTGTTATAGTCAAAAAACCTACAGTTGTCTTCTCCTGGTGTTACTAAAATGGCACGAGTCAGGTGAAGCAAAAGCTGACTTTCACCCATAATTTAGTGATGGATCAGTGTGACGTAAGGCAGTGGGAAAAGCATGGCAAATTGGAATTTGCCCAGTTGGCAAGCAGAAGCAAATGTCAGCGGGACTCAGTCTTTGTAGTCTCATACATTTCTTGATTAACAATGGAGTAGTTAGTTTGTCATTTAACAGGCATCTGTCTCATCTTGAGACTGTATGGAAACATCCATTCAAACATTTGGGTAAAGGTGAAAATTTTTTTTGAGGTAGCTTAGTGTGTTGAATCCAAAATCAAATATAGTAGAAATGAGAGGTATATAAAAATTAACATATAATCCTTATTAAAATTTGGCTGGGTGCAGGCAGTTTGAATTGTTTCTGTTGGGCTGTCTGTATACTCAAAACCAAGGTGTTGCTGTGTAAGTTTACATTTGTTTATAAACAGTTAAGTTAATTATACATAGATGTAAAGGCTATTCTTGAGCTGAGCCAAACGGTGCCTTGGTGAATTTTAACTCTAAAAAATTGAAATTGAGTAATCTGAATTAAAATGATGGGAATTCAAAATGTCATGGTTAATCAACGCTAGGGCGGTTAAAGCAGTAGTGTTCTCTGTGTGCATGCAACTTGATGTTTTCTCTAAAACATGAATGGTTAAATCGGTGGCTGAAAACAAGGCTGGTAAATTATTCCCTTCTAATACTGTTTAAAATGTGTAAATTGGATGGTGATTTGTGCTTACAAAAACATGTTTGTATATTATGTAATCGGAAGGAAAATACCTGAGTGGGGAAAAACATGTTTGTATATTATGTAATTGGAAGGAAAATACCTGAGTGGGGATATCTTTGCAGTTTAGAATATGCAGATACTACAAGAAGCAATCGGACCAGTTATTGGAGATGGAGTGCTTTTAGTTAGCTGCAGCGTAACTTGAAGTTACTTTTGCATCATCACATTAATGGGTGGGAGGAGAAGGGATGAACTCACTTAAGAAGCTGGCCTTGTCTTGTGCACATGGCCAAGACAAGTGAACTTCTCTGGAGACTCTGAAATACACTTTTCTGGGCATGTAATTTAAATAATATACAGGGAGTATCATACTTGGTCTTAAGCAAATGCTCACTAAATAAGAGGAAGGAAAAGGTAAGTTAGTCCTTTATGTAAATGTTCTATATTTACTGTTGTCTACAAAAAATCTGTATACTTTTGTTACACATATTTTGTTTTACTCTGAATTTACAAGATTTTGAACAAGGGGATTATTTCAGTAGCAGTTTACTTCTGTCTCCTAGTTAAATTATGTCACTCACCTTGAGCAGAAAGGAGTTCACAAGACTGCTCTGCCCAGACCCTTCAGCTAAACCCAGAGGCAAAATCTGAGGATAAATCCCACACCAGTGTCAGTCAGTCTAGCAGGAGAGCTGCAGTTTTGTCCTGACTTTGGCTGGCATTAGGTTGAGTACTCTGGCCTTGCAGTATGCTAGTTCAGGTAATTAAAGAAACTGAAAAATAATCACAGTCTTTGTGAATTTGGGGATTTTTTTTTGTTTGTTTGGTGTGGGTTGTGGGTGTTTTTTTCCTTTTAGTAGCTCACTCCTTGTTTTTTGTGTGGCTGTAGTGTGAACCAGACTTGTTAGGGAAGAATGGTGGTGTTTAAGGAAGGTTTATTGTGGTGGTAGAGTTGGCTTAGGGGTGTTGAACAATACAGTGGAGGTTGTCAGAAGTTGATTTCATTGGTTTGTGCAAGTACCTAGAGGCCTCAATCAGGTAGTGCAGAGGAACTGACTGCATTGAACTGCAGTAGACTGCAGTGTGTGTGTTTATTATGTATGTGTGTATATATATATATCTATATGTATATAGATACACGGCAGGAAACTTAGTCTTGCTAATATTTTCTACTTAGTGATTTTTCTAAACATCAATAGAAAACAGATATTCTGAGGAGGGCATTTAAAAAAAGTTCATTTTTAAAGTTGCATTTAAAAAAATCCAATTTCTCCCTAAAGAAAATTTGAGTTAGTAATGCCTTCTGGAGGTAGCAGCTTACTAAGCCCTGTGAATGTGAATTCTGAAGGGTAAGGATGGGTTACAATTAACTGTACTCAAAGGATAAAAGTGATGATTATTTTAGCGACAGTATTAGAAATCTCTAGATTTGTTGGTGCTGTTTATTGGAGACTGGGCAGGGGAGGAACAGTGTATTCAGTGAATGTTTTTTACAATTTTTATTGTGTATGTAACTGGGCTTGCAGATTTGCTCAGTTTAGGAAAGGATTTTAAAGCATCTTGGAGAAAGATAACAACATTGAAAATTAATTTGAGATGGAACGTCATAGTAAGCCAGTTACAAATATGCATAGTTTTGCAGCAGAAATTTCACTCTAACTTGAAGCTTCTACTGATTGAATCAGGAACTTAGCACTGCCAAATGAATCTTGCTGAAAGCTTGTACAGTTCCACCACCCTGTTTGGCTTTTGAACTTCCTGAGGACTGCTGTTGGTCTGTGTTGCTCTTGGAAGTCTGAGTTGCTCTGGAAAATGAGGTTTCGTCTTTCGCAGTTCAACAGTGCCCTGTGCTATGGAGTGGAACTGCTGGTACAACTTGGGGCAATATTTGTTACTGTATTTAAATGCTACAGAGTGAAGTGGAAATGCATAGTGATGATTAAACTGTTGGTATATCATGATTACAATATCAGCAGCTGAATCTAATGTCACAATGTAATCCACTAAAATATGTGTTGGGGGTGTGATGGGGGTTGTATTGGGCCTGAAAGGCCAGTGGACCCAGGCTTTTGTAGGCACGTGCTGGGAAAGGAAGCTCAAATGACCTGGGTAAATATCAGCGTGCTAATAGAAATTTGGCTGCAGGGTCTCTAGTAGTCTTAGCTGGGGTAGAATCCATCTCTAACTCCCTCTCAGACATCTGCAGTTGGACAGTGTCGGGAGAAGAGTATTGGAAAAAATGACAAATTTTGCTGTTTATGCTCTTAACCAGATCATTTCTACATAGACCTTAGTCAGCACCTTGAATTCAAATTTGAAATCTGCTGTAGTAATTCAAGCACAGTAGAGTTGTAGTAAACAGCGACGTTTCGGATGTGTGTCAGTTTCTCGGTGTTACAGAGATAATTACAGTGTAAATTTTATTTAGAACATTAAAATCATGTTAAGTATTTCAAGTGTTACCTTCTTCTGATGTCAGTTATACTCAATCTTTTATTTTAGACTTAGTATTTCTTTTTATTCTTTATAGCAGTGTGTTTGGTTTTCTAGTGTTCTTTTCCAGTTATGGAATACTTTTATATGCGTGTGTCAATATCGCATATTGTCTTTTTTTTTCCTCCAGGTTATGCAATGGTCTCTGCAAGATGGCATGTTCTTGAGTTGGAGCTTTTTAAGGCAAGCATATGCTGGTACTTCAACTTTACTAAGCGGACTATAATTTCTTCTCTCACAACAACTACATAAGCAGACAAAATTGCAAAGATCTGCCCTGTGTCGAGTATGACAGCCACGACTCGTGGCTCTCCGGTAGGAGGGAATGATAGCCAGGGCCAGGCTCCTGACGGACAGTCCCAGCCTCCCCTCCAGCAGAATCAGGTATGGTATTAACAATCAAGTTGTCTAAAAAGTAAGGGGTTTGTTCTTTAGAAATAGTGTTTCTGAATTATTTGGGCTTGTGTATTCCTGGAAATGTCTAATTGCTAGATGGGGTTTTTTGTGTGTTTTGAGGAATGAAGGCAAAGCTTTTGGCAAAGTAGATACAGTTAGGGAGCACTGCATTGCAAAAGCTGCTCCCTTTTCAGGCGATGGCATCGTTCTTTCAAGCATCTTTATTTTGGATAAGAAGCCTTCTTGGAAACATTGTCAGAACCACGTTGTAGCCTTACCTATCACAGATTGGTAAAACTGGTTGCTGTGAATTCAGTTCATGCTCAGTTCTCAAAACCACTTTTTTGATAACACAGCTTACAAGTGGGTATCAGCTCTTCAAGACCAAATTCATCTAGGTCTCTGTTTCATTGCACTGGACTTCCTGGAGAACTTGGCATGTGTTTCTGTTAGACAGGTTATCCTGCTTGCAAAAGACAAGCAAGAACTTTCAAATACTGCATCGTAATGTGATGATTCTTTTTTTATTGGGTGGAAAAAAATACAAGAGAAGATGCATCTAAACAGTGCTGCCAAACCCATTTAAAAGAAAAGCTACACTTTGTCACTTAATTCAGTATGAAGGTGATACTTGCTTAACACTGTAGTGTTTAGTGGTTGGTGCTTCCTGAGTATGAATTGTTCTTCCAAACACGTGTGGTGGGCTGACCCTGGCAGCCGGGTAAGCCCCCACGCTGTCGCTCACGCCCTGTGTCTCAGCGGGATGAGGGAGTGAATCAGAAGGGACAACTGAAGACACTGTATGGGTTGAGATAACAGCAATTTGAGGAGTAAAGGGGTAGGGGGGAGAAACAAGCGATGCAAACAGTCACTCACTTCCAGTTAATGGATGCCCAGCTAGTCCCCAAGCAACATCTACGTTGGGGAAAAAACCTCACACCCTGATTTATTGCCGAGCGTGACACTACCTAGTATGGAGTATCTCTTTGGTCAGTCCAGGTCAGCTCTTGTGGCTGTGGCCCTTCCCAGCCTCTTGCCCATTCCCAGCTTACTTAGTGCTGGGGGACAGAATGAAAAGCACAAGGCCTTGAAACTGCGCAAGCACTGTTCAGCACAGCCAAAACACCGGTGCCTTATCAATGCTGTTTTGGGCATGGATGCAAAGCCCAGCAGCATACAGGGTGAAGAAAATTAACTCCATGCCAGCCAGACACAATACAACATGTGAAAAATGTTCCTGAGGTTTCAGTCCTCCCTTGTCCTCCTAAATCTTGCAGCTCAGATTTGAGTCACTATTTCTGTGTACAAATAAGCGTGTATTTACAAAATACATTGTATTTTGCACAGCCCATCCAAATGGGCTTAACTGAACATGTTTTTGGAGACTGCTTAGTAGCCAGTGTAGTAGTGTGTTACTAGCAAATTTTTTTAAAAATGTTTTTTGTTATCATTTTCTTCTGTGCTGTTGCTGAAGTTTGCCTTTCTACCCAAAATAGTCATCTTTTTCTGCAGAAGATTTGTGAAAACCAGAGCATCCATATGGTCTTTATTTTCACCTTCTAGATGGGTGGTCTGCTGAAAGTAGAAGTCTGTTCTCACTGGGCATAGTAGCTTAATTTTTAAATTTTCAAGATAGAAAGCATATAGCATGTTTAATATTCTATTAGATTTTGTTAATAAATCTGAAATCAAATTATTTTTCGATGACAGTTACTTACTTCAAGTGATTCTTCTCCTTCGCAATGTAAAGGAAAAATCTGTGGCATGCAAGTGCACATGTATTTAAAGTATTTTCCTTACCAATTTTAGACTTCGTCACCTGATTCTTCCAATGAGAACTCCCCAGCTACCCCGCCTGATGAGCAGGGCCAGGGAGATGCTCCACCCCAGCTTGAAGATGAGGAGCCTGCATTTCCACACACAGACCTGGCAAAGTTGGATGACATGATCAACAGGTATTTTCACACTTTTTTCAGACGTGTGATGATTTTTTTTTTTAAATTAGATTATTTGTGCAAATATCCTGACAGTAGAATCGGGATTCTTGGATCTTTGTTCCACTGCATTTCTTGATACACTTTTTTTTTTTTAATTGGGTTACAGTTGTAAAGAGAAAAAGCTCAAATCAGAGTAGTGTTTTTCTTTAAATGGAGTGCTCATCAGGGCCTTTAGAATGTATGTTCTTGCCCTATACTAAAAGCATTATGAAAGGGCAAGGATTCTTGATATTTTTAAGAAGCACGAATGAAAATACAGTGGGCTTTGTTTTGTTTTTGAATATAGGCCTCGATGGGTTGTTCCTGTATTGCCGAAAGGGGAATTAGAAGTTCTTCTAGAAGCTGCTATTGACCTGAGTAAAAAAGGTAAGGTGAAAAGACAATGATTATTAGGCCAGTGTGTAAAGTCTTTTCTTGTTCTTTTCAGTCCCTCGTGGAGGCTTAAAAAAAATCTCAGATTATTTCTGTTACAACCCTAGTCCTGAAGATTGTGTCAGTGGTATGCAGGACCTTCATAGATGGGAAATTTTAGAAAAGCCATCAATGTAGTTAGAAATTGGGTGCCTTAGCATGAGTAGGGAAGTTGAATAAGGTCACAGCAATAAAAACCTTGTAATTCCTGTCCTACCTGTTTTCTGTATTCACTTCGATATCAGACCTTGTGGGTTGGGTCTTTATAAAAGATATTAAAACTCAGAGAATTCTAGTTTTTGAAAAATAAGTTACTAATCTAGCTTTCTAAATGTCTTGCCATAAATATTTGTTCAAATTTGGCACATATATACATTGGAGAATATTAGAGAAAAATTAAAATTTAATCAGCATGACTTAGACTAACAATTCTACCATACTGCTTGCTGTGTCTGACTTGCTTGGAACTGGGAGAGTTCCATACCAGGACTGTGTGTGTGTTTGCTAAATTGTACTTGTCAGATGGAGAAGTTCATCTTGTGTTCCAGAAAGTTCTGTGCTCCTGGAAAGTCACTTTGGTCTCCAGTTCTGGTCAGTATTTGTTGCCCCAGTATTTGAGTAATACCAGAAGTCAGATAAAAATATTTTTCCAGGCTCTCTGCACTATACCAGCTAAAATACAGTAGCATGCAAAGTGTCTGTTCCTTACTTTTGCAGAGCTGGACCAGGACGACTTCATTTCCATGTTAATAAGGGTTATTCTTAGGCAGTTTTAAGAATAAAAGGCTGCTTGTGGTCATGATAATTCTGGGTTATATTTTCTGTAAATTGTTTTTGCTTTGGAGCACTCTCTGGAGAAATAAAAGTTACAGTGCACCATTGTGATCTAGACCAGGATAATAACAATGATTTGTCAGCCATAGTTGCACTTGGATGTAGCTTCTTTGCATGTAGCTAGGTCTGGCAGGAATCCTCAGGTGAGTGTAAAATTGGTAAGTGATTGCATCTGTTCAGGGGCAAAAGATACGCCAATTTACAGAAAGAAAATGCAGCTGTCTGCATTTGGGCTGTTGGAACAGTGCAGTAAACAGAAATTCTCTGCTTGTGAGTTTTGAGAGAGGAGATGTAGGTACTGCCAGCTGTTAAGTCATCTTTAAAAAAAAAAAAAAACCAAACCACCCAAAAAACTGTCAGTGCAATGAAATAATAAGAACAGAATGAGATTTTTGGCTACTTCTAACGTCAACCTACCTCTCCAAAGTTTCAGACTTAGTTGAAGGTTCCCAGACAAATATTCTCCTTTTCTTCTGCAAGTTGTGAAAAACAGTGGAAATGTATTCATATGCTTTATGCACTTTGATTTTTATTAAGTTGTTGCTGTCCAATTCTGAAAGTCTGCTGCACTGCTATCTAATTATTCTTCCTCTTGCCCTCTGGATGAATTCCTGTGTGGGTAGATATGCAAGGATTATTGGCTAAGGAGAAGCTAGGAAAGCTGTTAGAAGTAGTTGTTTAACTGTGTTGTCTTTACAGTTACATCCTAGATTTTTTCTTTCCTTTGCTATTTCAAGTTACATGATTGCCAAGATGGTTCTTATTTAAATAACTTCCCAGTGCTCAAGGAATATGATAGGGTGCTCACTTGGTGTAACTGACACTTTTGGTAGCTCAAAACTTGGCGGACACTGTTTCAGAGCTGTGTATATATGGAGAAGTAATATAAATGATACTGTTGTGTACAACTCTTAACACATCGAAAATGTGTTTTGTTAAAATTGAACACCTTGCTAACTGTCTCTGGGCATTTTTCTTAATTTAAGGAATTCTGTTTCAACGGGGAATAACTGAAAGGAGAAACTGGAAAAATAACCAGCTGTTGAATGACATAAATTTTATATTGCAGCTGTAACTCGTTTAGATGTGAAGCAACAAAACCTAAGAGGAGCCTACTAAATTTTTTTTATCAAGCATTATTTTCTAGTGGTGAGGATTCTTAAGTGGCTTTTATTGCTAACGTTGCCAGTGGCCATCAGCATTGTCATTCTGGAGTGACTCTCAGGTGACTGCTGTCTTTGTGACCTGTCTATAAAACAAGAGTGATATTTGCATCCTCTAAATCTTTTCAGGAACTGAAATTGAAAGGAACATAACTGAACTGAATTGAAGGAATTCATAAGAATTAAATGTCATCGTTACCACCCTCAGGTGCAAGGAGCAGATTTGACAGTAGTATGAATCCTGTCTAGACTGTGACTTGCATTGTTCCTGGCAGATGCATGTTACTATGGAGGTTTATCTTCTTATGTGTAGGCATGAATGTAGTATTCTTCGTTAAGGAATCTCTGAGGCTATCTGACTAAACGGTACTCTGGAGTTACTTGCCAAGAGAAGAAAACCTATTTGAAAAACAGCGTTTAATAGCAAGACTGATGCTTATCTTCACAATAATTGTTGGAATATTTAGGAAGTGTTTTGAGTAATGAGATTTGCTCCAGAAATAAATGTCATAGTGAGATGGATGCTATAAAAGTAAAAGAAAAACATTGTTTGGTTTTTATTTTTAAGGGCTGGAATATTCTCCACTCTTTCATTCAAAATCCCCTCAACAACTCTGCACTGCTCCACCTTTATTGTAGATCTTATTGCTCCTAATGTTTACATTCAATTTTTAACATGCTGCCAGAACTTTCCAATGTGATACACACAAGCAAGATACAAGGCAACTTTTGTAATTTGTGGCTTATTTAAACTGGAATGAGGTTTCACTGCACAATTTAAACCTTCAACCTTGATCCCAAATCTTTGGTTTTTGATGAATTACAAAGGCTTACAGGGTGGGGAAGATAGGCCCTAGAGCCTAAAAAAACCCAACAAACCTAAACCAGTCTGTGCATGAGCACACGTACATCCAAAAGCTAGGCAGTCCAATAATGGAAGTTGTTTCCCGCATCCTCTTTAAAGCCCATCTTTCAGGATGTTCCATCTGTTCTTCTGTGAGACCACTCTTGGGTTCCTTACTGAAGCTGTATCTTCTGCATTTTCTTGATATGATTAATTTTATCCACCTGTCTAAGGCAAGGGTCATCATGTTGCCAAGTTTCTCAGCTAGGTGTCTGAGCTAGAACAAATTCCATGAAATGAACTGCAGCAGGGTCAGTCGACTGGGTGTAGAAGGATGCTCATACTCCTGATTAAGTTACTGCAAGTCTGCCAGAATCTGAGAGTGCGATGTGTAGCCACTGTGCCCACGGGCAAGTGTGGGTTTCCTCAGAGCTTCTTAGCTTCCCTGTCGCTTCTGCAGGGTCTTTGTGTCGTTTAACCACAGCCATTGACTTAGCCCCACACAGCTGCTCACTAATTTCCCCCCCCAGCAGGATGGGAGGAGAGGATCAGAAAGCTAAAGTGAGAAAACTCATGGATTGAGATAAAGGCGGTTTAATAGGTAAAGCAAAAGCTGCACACACAAGCCAAACAAAACAAGGTATTAATTCACCACTTCCCAGCTGCAGGCAGGTGTTCACTCCTCTCCAGGAAAGCAGGGCTCTGTCACGTGTAGTTGCTACTTGAAGACAAATGCCATCACTCTGAACATCCCTCCTTCCTCCTATTTCCCTCAACTTTATATAGTGAGCCTGCCATCATATGGTATGGGATATCCCTTTGGTCAGTTGGGGTCAGCTGTCGCCTCCCAACTTCTTGTGCACCCCCAGCCTACTCACTGGTGGGGTGGTGTGAGAGACAGAAAAAGACTTCACTCTTGTGTAAGCACTGCTCAGCAG